ACTAAGAGAAGCTCTGCCCAGAGGACGTCCATTCCACCTCCCTAACCTGGAAGTGATTCATGCCACTGCCTTGTGCCACCCTTCCTCCCTTCTCTTCCTCTCTCTCTCTCTCCCCATCCCACCCCCGCCCCCCCCCCCCGACAGCAGCGGCTCTCTAGAGTAAAAAAGAGACAACGATTTTCCACCTAGTCCTCGTTGCATTTTCAGTATGGGCAAAAATAGATGGCGGCACTATTATGCAAACTCCTCAGTTCGGACTTGGCTGTCGTCAGGGGGGGGGATCGGCTGTCTGGTTTGCAAGCGATTCTGGTTGAAAACCCAGCAGTCTCTCTCTCTCCCCCCCTTTTTTTTTCCCAGGGTGAGAGAGTCTAAATATATATATATATATATATATATATATATATAAAGGGGGGGAGAGGTTGAAATCTGCTCTCTCAGAGTTTCCTTTTGGTATCACCAGTCCTAATTACTCCACTGACTTTCCTGTTGTTTGGCAAGGCTTACAGAGCTGGAAAGCTCCCTAATAACAGCTCCGTTGGCTGCCCGTGTCATTAACTTCTAATTTATTTAAAAGGAGGGGGAAGAGAGAGAGAAAAAAAACAAAAAAAAAAGCCCTACTTATGCTCCGGGCCGCTCAGAGCCAATCACATGAGTCACCGCCTTACGTCGCCATCCCGGGCCGCTCTCATTTGCTGAGCCGCGCTTACTCAACTTCCCCAAAGGAGGAAACAGCCAGAAGTCTCCCAAAAAAGGGGAGGGAAAAAAAAAAAGTCGGTCTGTTGTCGGGGGGCTGAAGCGAGCGGAGGTGGTGCGTCCAGGAGCGCCTGAGCGAGAGATTGATTGGGAGGTCTGGACTCGGGAACAAGAGGAGGAGGAGGAGGAGGAGAAGAAAAAAAGGCGGAGGAGGCGGCAGCGGCTGCTGCGGCAGCGGCGGCGGCGAGACGAAGGGCGGCTGCTTCTCTACGCAGGGATCTTTTGCGAAGCTGCGCCGAGATGTCTTCTCCTCCTTCCAAAGCCAAGGAGGTTTTCTCCTCGGACGAAGAGGGCCCCGCCGCTGGGGCCGAGGATCGCCACAAAGTCAAGGTCTCCAGTTTGCCGTTCAGCGTGGAGGCGCTGATGTCCGACAAGAAGCCGCTCCGAGAAGCCAGCGGAAGCCTGGAAGGGGCTGGCTTGGGTACTTCTAGGAACCTGCTCTTGCCCGCTCACGTCTCCCGGGAAGCGCCCAGCCCCGGCGGCCTTACAAAAACCTTCGAGACCTCGTCGGTGAAGTCCGAAAACTCCGAGGATGGCTCGTCCTGGATCCCAGAGGCCGGCAGATACTCCCCTCCCCCAAGTGAGTGCTTTAGCCCGGGGGGGGGGAAGGGTCGAAGGGCGCTGGTAGAATGAAGTGGGGAGACCAAGTCAGCGGTGGGTGTGATTGTGTGTGTGTGATTGTGTGTGTGTGTGGTTGTGGCTTCACCCCCTTCTGCCCCTACAGAACTCTAGTAGAATGAACTGGGGAGACCA